AGTTTTATATATGTCGAACTATGTGCAAATATACGAAGAGAAACACTTTAGAATGGAAAAAGAAAAGTACATATAATGTAATAACATGAGTTACATAATAAATTTTATTTGAAACAAACTTTTATATGTTCAAATTATTGTTTTCTATGATATAGTAGTTGAAGCCCATACAAGTGTACTGATTTTTAAGTAATTTCAGTTAAACTACGTAAACATCCTATGTTATAAGATAATTAAATGCTATTGAAAGAAGTGAAAGTTAATAACAGAATAGAAGATGCATATCAGTTATTTGAATTATCAAACTATTATTCAAATGATTCAATCACAGTTCGTTTCTCATATGATGAAACTGTGAAGTGCGAGTTTTGGAAATGGAAAAATGCGATAACTGATAATAAAATAACAAAATCAATATTAAATTTAAAGAAAAACTCTTAAGACACCACGAACAATGATTCGGAACGATGAATGATTAAATGTAGTTCTTAGCCTCGGTATGAAACAGAAAAATTCTGACAAAGATTTGGTGTTATTGCAATGAATTGGAATTTTTCCATATCAATAGAAATATAAAAATATACGATGTTATCATGGTTCGTATGAACACACTAGCTTTACCCCATTAAGCATGTCAATAAACAAAGTGTAAATATTATGAAAGGTCAATGACCCTCAAACCAAATGTTTTAATTTGGATTAGCGCAAATGAATTAATTGAAAAAAATTATCTTATCCAATTATTTGAAATATCGTCCCTTTCTTCCCTTGCGTGATTTCATTTTTGCTCCATTCATTCCTCCGGAAGCAGGGGTACACTGATCTAGCACTGATCTATATAGTTAATTAGTATATTAGTACACTGATCTATATAGTTAATTAGTATATTAGTATATTAGTACACTGATCTATATAGTTAATTAGTATATTAGTATATTAGTACACTGATCTATATAGTTAATTAGTATATTAGTATATTAGTACACTGATCTAGCACTGATCTATATAGTTAATTAGTATATTAGTATATTAGTACACTGATCTAGCACTGATCTATATAGTTAATTAGTATATTAGTATATTAGTACACTGATCTATATAGTTAATTTGGGTTCTGACGTGACATTGAAATTGTACTTGTTTCAGTTTCTTTATAAATGTCGAATGACAACAATGGAAATAATGCTAGTCGTTTTCTGAGCTACTTATCCTGGACATTGATCCACCTTTATAAATATAAATATGACTGTATTTTTTGTATTACGAACGAAAAAAGATGTCATTGTTAAACTATACTGATAATCCTAATAGAGTAAAAAAGTTTTAAATCTTGTTATTAACTCGGGTTACATTTATTACTGATATATAACTATTTACTTTAATTCAATTATAATGTTTCGTTTTTATTCAACAAGTGACAATGAAAAGAAACCCATACATTATGTATAATTCCACAATACTAAATGTCCAGCTTCATAATCATCTAGTCCTGGTATGCCAGGTAGGTAGGGCGCTTGATTCGTAACCTGAGTATCGTGGGTTCGAATCCCCGTCCCAACAAACATGCTCATCCTTGTATTGTGACGGTCAATTCCACTACTAGTTGGAATAAAAAAGTAGCGCAAGAGTTGGCGGTGGGTGTTGATGAATTGCTGCCTTCCATCTAATCTTTTACTCCCTTAAATTAGAGACGGCTAGCACAAATAGCTTTCGTATAGCTCTGCGCGAAATTCCAACCACTAATCATGTAAAAATATAAAAATGCTTCTCACATAATAAAGAAGTAATTAACGTTTCTCAGGTATTGTTACAAATACGTAATGATTTAACCTAATCATAAGCAATAAAAAAATTGACAAACGTTGAAAACCCCTCCAGAAAAATACCAACTGGAAGAAATTAACAGAAAATGTTAAAAAGCGTGATTCGTAATTTTGTTTTTCGTTTCAGAACTTCGCACAAGGTACACAAAGGTTATCTGGGAATTGCCTTTCGTAATTTTAAACGGACAGATTATAGGGAAGGGAAGTAGTCAGTAACACACAACCTAGCTCTTGAGTTACTTTTAGATGACTCAATAATGGAATTTCATCGTCATTTGTATAACACACCCAAAACCCGAAAGTGCGTAGCACATTTTTAGAGTAACTAGTCATGAAGTATGGACCTTTGAACTATGGACAGTCCGGGCACGCTAACCATTTGGTCACGCCCCACCTATTGTTAAGCAAAGAAAGGCAGATACGCAAGCATTTTGAATTAAAACACAAAACTTTATAAAAATGATTTTTATGTGCTAGTATAGTAGCTAGACTCTGCTGATGCTTGGCATCTGTACATTTGTTCACATTAAACTCCCTACATTCAAATTGTTTGTTTGTTTGTTTTGAATTTCGCGCAAAGCTACACGAGGGCTATCTGCGCTAGCCGTCCCTAATTTAGCGGTGTAAGACTAGAGGGAAGGCAGCTAGTTATCACCACCCACCGCCAACTCTTAGGCTATTCTTTTACCATCGAATAGTGGGATTGACCGCGACATTATAACGCCCCCACGGCTGAATAGGTGAGCAAGTTTGGTGGGACGGGGATTCGAACCCGCGACCAATAGATTGCGAGTCGAGTGCCCTAACCACCTGGCCATGCCGGGCCCAGCATTCAAAAATGCAGTGCTGCCAGAGTACCTTCTTAGAAAAAGTATCCATGTAACTCGAATATCAATAAGATGCAAAGCTCGGGTCACATCAATTTCAAGAACTACTACATATAACATATTGAATAACACTCGCCAGAGAAGTTTCGGACATTGATATTTAAGGGTGTAAACTCATTTTAAACAACATTACAGTACTGAGACTAACGTGGCCAAAGTTTGCAAACTGGACCACTAGGAACCTCACCACCATCACACACAAACACACTGAGGAAGTAACTGCTGACTGATTAAACTACGAGTACGCGAAATGTTCAAATAGACACATTAGCGTGTAAAGAGAAAAGCCGTTGAAAGTCGTACGAACATTTATACACGAGCGAGACGAAAGTTTATTGAAATATTGACGAAGGTTAGGTGATTGGCTATCACAACATAAAGTGATCAGAATTTTCCATCATCGTACGAAGAATGTAAGGAAAGTTCTTCGTCAGACTTTATTCTTATATATTTCGAAATTTCCAATTCACCAGTGCACAGTAAATCAAAGGCAAGCTCGAGTTAACTAGGAGAACGTATTGACACTAGTGATATTCGAGATGAAATTTCTGTATTGTATGTCCCAACCGCCAAGAAGGTAAGGCTACATCACAGCAGTGGATTATTTTATTTATTTTTTTCTCGAAGCAAGATGTGTGATCTAAGATTGACCTAGTCGTCCTTCTCAGAAGCTTATTACAATAAAATTGCGGTTTCAGGTAATAGTGCGTAATCATGGCCACAAGACTGGGCACGATCGATAATGGAGGAAGTAGTTCCATGGGTATCTCGGAACTTGGGACGTTGTTCTTTTTAAATGTAATCTTCCCTCCGTGATATGAATAGGAAAAAAAAAGAAAATTAATCATAATGATTTAATTAACATTTATGTAACGTCATCTGAATAGAAACAGGGAGTGGGAAAAATATATATACTTACACCTGAACATGAAGTGGAGAAAATATGTACTTACACCTGAACATGAAGTGAGGAATATATGTACTTACACCTGAACATGGAGTAGGGAAAATATGTACTTACACCTGAACATGAAGTGGAGAAAATATGTACTTAAACCTCTACATGGAGTAGGGAAAATATGTACTTAAACCTCAACATGGAGTGGGGAAAATATGTACGTACACATGAACATTGAGTGGGGAAAACATGTACTTACACCTGAACACGAAGTGGGGAAAATATGTACTTACACCTGAACATGGAGTGGAGTGGAGCGTCACCACTTATTTCTCTGCATTTCTCTTCTAGGTTGTTTGTTGAAGAACAGTACGCTAAAGATTTGAAGAAAATGTGGAAATATTTCATACACAGATGGTTTCACACAAATAAAAGTATGGAAACATTTCATACGCAACTGACTTCACACAACTTAAAGTATGTAAATATTTTATAAGCAGTTGGTTTCACACAACTTAAAGTATGGAAATATTTCATACGCAGTTGGTTTCACATAACTTAAGGTATGGTAATATTTTATAAGCAGTTGGTTTCACATAACTTAAAGTATGGTAATATTTTATACGCAGTTGGTTTCACACAAATACAAGTATGGAAAAGTATGGAAACAGTTGATTTCACGCAAATAGGAACAGCTTAAATTATTATCCATTCAATCTGATTAGTGTAAAATGAAACTACAATATTCTAGTTCAGGAGAATAGGAAAAAATTAAAAGGCACCATCACTAAACATACATTTCGACTACATATACAGTACCTACATTTTAATATATATGGTTAAATATTTCTACATCCACTTCTTTCCTCACTTTTAACACACGCCTGGCTTCTTGCCAAACAAAGGAATCGTAAAATCAATCTCACGTAGACGAGAATTCTTGTACTTACTTTCCTTATACTGCAGCACATTTTCATGTCGTTCATGAATAACAACGCACCGGAAGCAGGTTTCAGATCTGCAAGAAATCAAATCGAAGAGTGAAAACGACAAATAAAGTAGTCGTAGTTTGATACACCATACAATAAATGGTCAAGTTTTCAGCTTTTCTTTCATTTTTTATCAGTAGGTGGAATTGAGCACATTGACCCTATACACAAATAAAATAAATTATTTAAAGTACAAGCTGAAGTATTAATACCAATTCTATGTTAAATAAAACATTACAATTTCCACATCAGTTAGTAATAATTTTAAAATGTTCAATTTTTCATTTGGGAATTATGATACGTATACAATTTGTGACCACTTTTTACAACTATAAACTTTTTTTCCCTGAGCAAGGTTGAACGCCATCTTGAAATAAAGGTAAGCATTGATAACAAAATAGATTAATTCTACGGTATCTGCACGTAGCCCTTTAAGTTTAAGTTAGCTTCAACAAAATTATAGATTTCTTATAACACCGAGTATTTACGTTTTACAAATCGTACAAATGAAATTAAGATATAACTTAACAGTACAGTGTTCACTTGTATATTTCAAATAGAAGACTTATTTTAACATTAATATAATAAAAAAATCAAAAATCTGTGAAAGTTATCTTTAGAAGCCCCTTTCAAATATACATTTTGTAAAATAAAACGGAAAGTATAAAAGAAACGATAAACAAAATAACCTTTAATATAATATTTGTTTGTTTGAAGTTAAGCACAAAGCTACACAGTGGGCTATCTGTGCTCTGCCCACCACGGGTATCGAAGCCCGTAGACTGTGCCACTGGAGGGAGAGGGCTTAATATGATGTACTTTTGTTGTGTTTTTCTTGTTATATATCACCTTATTTGACTATACCGTTTTATTAAACATATTTTTTTAAAGTTCGAGATAAAATAAACAAGGTAATAACACGTTGTATTGTCTACACAGAGGGAAGAGTTAATCGAACAAGTTGAGTAAAACATTTTGTGTTTTCTTTTTTTGTCTATAAGAAGATTACACTAAATTAAAAAATCGACTATAGTAGGATTACAACGATAATTCTTTCGAAACATGGGCCTTAGTTTGAGTTGCCACTTTTAGTTTTGCGCGATGGCATAGTACTGAAATAAAGTATCTAATGTATGGGCATGATCAATTTGCTTTGTTGATAATCTTTCTCTTGAAGAGTGTGTAATAAGTCGGCACCTTGCTGACATGTTCATGATGAGGTGGTCCGACAAAGAATCTAATCTAATTTTTCATTAGACCACTATAATTTATTCGTGACATGACTCTCGGGAGGATAGAACTCATTCGCGTAATGGAGTCACTCTTTCCATGAGAGAGAGAAAAAAAAAAGATTATTTTTGGATTTCCACGGCTTAAATGCATGCGTTGATGAGAGAAATAGGCTAGTTTTGAAATTCAGGCTTATTTATATAAATCTGAGTAGTGATTAATAACAAATTAATGCAAAGTAATTTTCTTTTTTTCTTTAATTTCCTTATATCCGTTATATTATAAATATTGCTATTTCTAAATATATACACATATATATTTATACAAATATCTATAACACAAAAGTTGTTTGTTTTTTGTTTGTTTGTTTTGAGAGCAAACCCGCATTGGACTATCTGCAGTGTCTACCGCGGAGAATCGAAACCCGGATTTTTGAATTGTTAGTCCGTAAACTGCCTCTGTCTTATCAGGGGACTGACACAAAACAATACAAAATACAATTGCATATAACCAGCTTGGTGAAAAAAAATAGTCAATTGAAAGGAAACTAACAAAAATGTTAAATTCAAAATTTAGTGTGAAGATATATGAACTACAAAAATAGTAAAAAGACAAAACAAAAACAGTGTCCATTTCTGGCTTTTTGACCTTACCTAAAACCCTTTCTTACTGGCCATAAGCATGCGACAGGAACGAGCCAGCGATTTATAACTCTACTAGATTATCACCACATTAAGCTTGCGTGGAAATTATCCAGATTTAATTTACATGCATATGCGATCAATATGGTGAGCGCTACACCGAGTTACCTTGGAAACAGCTTCTGGGAACACTCTCTGATCATCTAATGAATTCTCTAATCATTACACATCTGTTTTAACTCACTACATAAATAAATAAAAAACCATATAAGGTTAAACAAAATTGCAAGTATTTAAATGCCTTCATTTATCTATGAATAGAAATTTATTTGTAAAAGTTCTGTAAATATTTTTATAGTTTTGAAATGAAATACTTAAAAACGTTGAGCTATCACAAAAATTGGTAAGTCAAACAAATGCCAAAAAAGCGGTGGATGACATATACATTTCTAAATGTACTGAAAAATCGTTCAGTATATAACCCGTTATTTTAACCATATATAGTATTCTATTATATGCAATAGAAAACTGAGTAATTAGCAGTTAATAAAAGTTTTGCAATTATAACCTACATGATCCACTTTTATAATAAAATATAAATAAATGATAAACTGGACGTAAATTTATTGATATAGAGAAAATGTAAGTACTATTTATGATTTATTATTTCGCGTGAATAATACTAAATGTTGTCATATAAAATAATGTGTAAACTAAAACCAAACAGCAAATTAAACTGCTAAGTAGTTCAAATTACATTAATTAATTAATTTTAAATGATATTAGTTAAAGTTTGAATTTTAAACATTCAGAAGGCTGGATAAATGGTCTGTGCTCTTCTAACAAATATGTTAGCTTTAAACAATCCACGGAATAAGTAACATTTTTGGCTCCTGTACCAATCGTGTGAGATTTAAACAATCCATAGAATGAGTAACGTTTTCTGTTTCTTTAACAATCGTGGAATTTTAAACAATCTATAGAATGAGTAACGCTTTCTGTTTCTTCAACAATCGTGGAATTTTAAACAATCTATAGAATGAGTAACGCTTTCTGTTTCTTTAACAATCGTGGAATTTTAAACAATCTATAGAATGAGTAACGCTTTCTGTTTCTTCAACAATCGTGGAATTTTAAACAATCCATAGAATGAGTAACGTTTTGTGCTTCTTTAACAATCGTAGAATTTTAAAAAATCCATAGAATGAGTAACGTTTTGTGCTTCTTTAACAATCATGTGAGATTTAAATAATCCATAGAATGAGTAACGTTTTGTGCTTCTTTAACAATCATGTGAGATTTAAATAATCCAACAATGAGTAACGTTTTGTGTTACTGTAACAGTCGTGTACGCTTTAAACAATCCACAGAATGAGAAACATTTTGTACTTCTTTAATGTGTGAGCTTTAAAGAATCCACAGAATGAGTAACATTTGGTTCTTCTTTAACAATCATGTGAATTTTAAACAATCCACAGAATGAGTGACATTGTGTTTTTTTTTTAACAATCATGTTTTAAACAATTCAGAGAATGCCTAATGTTTTGTGTTCCACTAACAATCATGCGGTGATTACTTAGTGAAAACGCATGTGAAAAATATTTATCTGAAATTAACTTCACTTTCATTGGATTTGCTTGTAAGTCATCAAAGAATGATGTAAACTTCATTACTTTTAATCAACACTTAAGAAAAACGAAAACTTTTAACGTAATGATTTATATATCATAGGTTATAAATTGTACCTTTGATATGACTCCTAAATTGCTTTATTCTTAATTTATCGAAGCACAAACTAGATTGTTGAGGACATACTTAAATTTATTAAAGACTACACTAACCCTATTTAAAAAAAACAAATTTTGAGAAGCTCAGTGTTTCGTTGTTTTTTATTTTCATTTATAATTCTTCAAGAAAGAATTACTACTTAAGCTCACGTGAAGCAAATTGAGAACTTGTATCCCACTCCAAGTAATTGATAGCTTCTATTCCACTGTGAGTTATAAGCTCACAATAGCATACAAGTTTTCAATATGCTCTATGCAAGTTTAAGAAGTTCGCTTCTGAAGAAAAATGTTGTAAAAAAACGTAACATGTTGAGCAGATTGATTTGTTTTTCTAAATTTGAAGTCGTTTAATCAATAAAGTAATGCGCCTTATTCTTGTTTTTCCTGTTAACACTTATCTCGACTGGCTTATAATTTGTTTAAACAGAGCATGCGTGCTTCCTACTTGGTCTCTAACAGGAACTTGTCACCGTCCACTTCCCGACAAACACCTTTACTGGAGATGCTACCGTCACGGATGCTGATTGAATCTCGGAATCCTTTCTGAAACCAATTCCCCGTCCAATGGGCTGGAAACTGACACGTTGGCTCTGCTAATGATATCAAAATTATTCTTTTTTTT